GGGGTTTGCCTCTGCCTACGGGGCTGGGCGGGGCGGGGCCGCTGCAGGTAGGTCGTCGCGGAGCGGGGGCCACCAGGCCAGCTCTGTTGGGGCGACGCCTGAACGGAAGGCAGCGGTCGCAATTGGGCGAGCCAACTGGGTCCTGCGGTTTCAATACAATTGGTGAAAACATATTTACACAGCACACATTTTGAATTTGTTTTAATTTTAAAAAGGTAACAATTTGATAATATTTTCAAGTTTCACCATAGAACTGAGTGAAATTACTTAGTATTTAAATAAGTATTGAAATATTACATAACACATTCGTTATACCCTATTTTTTTTTACTTTTCAAATGCCTAAATGAATAAAATGAAAGAGGATTTCTTTAGCAGGAAATGGCAAGACATCAAAGTGGAGTGATTGCTGCCCAAGTTCAGGATATGTGACAATGCTGCATCGACAATGACAAGTGACGTGAATACTTTATACACAGGTGGAAATGCATTTTACCATTTGTACATAACATTTGGATTGCTTGCCAAAGTTGTTAATAAACCGAAACCCCAAGTGGAAACAAAACTTTGCCGGGCTGTTTAAAACCACATATCGTAATAGAATAATAACCACTTACCTCAGGGATTGGTTATTATTCTTATGTGTTCCATTTTACTTTATCGTATACATACGTATATATGGAGTAAATACATAGTCATAAGAAACATATGTAATGCTTCGGAATCTCGGAAAATCGATTTCGAGATTTCAACGGTAATACGTTTTGGGATCCCCTGATACCGAAAAAGTGATTCTTTTCAAAACGTCCGTCCGTCGATATGGCCTTCTGTCTGTGCGTGCGTGCGTATTTGTTTGTCCGTCTACCGGTCCGTCAGTCAGTGAACACCACTTTCGCCTAAACGAAACGAAGGTTTTTTTTTCCAAAATGGGTATTCCCCGGTCGATCTGGCTCCACTGGCAGCACCGCGATTTTGAAAAACTTTCTTTAAAATTTGGGGGTACTTCACATGAGGTCCCCCGAACATTTTCAAAATTTTCTCAAAATACGGGTTCACAATTTTTAAATTTCTTGAAAGAATGTAGTAATATAAACTTCTAAAGGTGGCATTGGTAGAATTTTCACGAATAACTCTGAATTTGAAAGGTTAACTTCGAACTACTAAAGTTTGAATTTTATGTTCGTCTTCCTATAACTACAAAACTGAAGGTGGAGATTCTTTCAAATACAGTTTGTTCTCCATATTTAGTTCTTTCAATAATGCCATGTACATTTTTAAAGTTTTATATTTTTTGCAATATTGCCTGAAATATATGCAATTAAAAAATATCATAAACAAGATTTTATCGAACGGGATTTCAAATTTTTTCTGTAAACTGTAAGCAATGATAGTGCTAAATAAGGTGACATAGCGCCATATTACTCTATTCTTTTATTTTTTCAAAACTTACAAAAATGTATTTTTTGTGACTTGTCAAGAAACAAAAACCTTAAGCCATCGCACAGTATTGTCAAAAACTTACTAATTCTCTAGGAATCTCGTATGCCCTAGAGATTGGCGTCCAACACTTTCCCACAAACGTGTCAATAAATCATCAGTCATCAATCAATAAATCTATAGTCAAATAAGTACCAAAAGAAATTTGAAATGAATGTAGATCATAGGAGCTTGGTTTCAATTGGACGTTTTTAAGTAATAGCTGAGGTGTTAGTAGCGCAGAAATTGTAATATTTCAATATTACGTTGCTGTGTCCAACAATACGAGAAAGTATGTGATGTTGGAGCCCCACAACTTACTTCCACGCTACCGCCTACGCAGTAGAAATAAAGTTATCCAATGTCGCGGGAAAAAGTGGTGAATTTTTGGGCAGAACTATTGTTGTTGGCGGGCCCGGGAAACGAAAAAGTGGATAAATCCAGTTATTAAGAAAAATAACCCTCTAAAAGGGGGTGTGGCCTGAATCCATGTTTTGTGTGTCTGTGACACCGAAAAATGGATTGACGACGAATAGTGCCTGTGTCCGCCAGTCCGTCTGACTGTAAACAACGCGAGCAGCTAAACCGCTCAGTTCGCTTCGAGCCGTCGCGGAGTCAACTTCGCGCTCACCTCTGTTCCGAACAGTAAAGTGTCTGCCGTTGGGACTTGTTTAAGTTATTCTAAGCGTATAACGTACTTTCATCAATTGGACTGTCAGTTATTAGTGCTAACAATTACAGTTTATAGACCAGTGAAAGTGATTCAGTACCCAGCAACCCTGGCTGGCCTGGGGCAAAGCACAGCCGGGGCCATGGCCGCTCTGTGTAAACCAGACCGCGCCATGGACACCTCTTTCATCACAACGCCGTCATCCCATGGTGAACATCAAAGCGGCGCTACACAACAAGGCAACATTCGTCTTCAATATGCTGTTCTCAATCAACACCCGCCGCACGCGGGAGTCCAGGAAATTACAATTCCGGAAATTCAGGAACGAAC